CTGCCAAGCAGTAAAACTTATTATAATTTTAAATGTCTGTGTCAAGCATACTCATCCACTGCTCAGGAACAGCACATTTTCTTTCAAGTCATTATGGTTTAAAGGTGACAGTGGTGAGTGCTAAAGCCCAGCGATGACCTGTGCTGCTGTTGGACAACTTTTGTTAAGTCCTCTTCAAGGAGATAATTTAGGACAATTATTGACTGGGGATGTTTGATTCTTGTATTGCCCAACAGAAGAGTAGTGCAGATTCTCCTTCTTGGTGGTTCTTGATATTAAACATTTTATCACAAATATTCTTTTCTCAGAATTTTGATGGATTCAACTGCATGTACAATTGCAATTAATGTAAAGATAGTAGTGGGTTCCCAAAAACTCCTTAGTTAAGGGAACCTGGATACTTATATATAAAGGTAATTGGATATTTTTAATATTAGCTATTGCTAGCTAGTTGTTCATTCACTTTAAAAAAAAAAAAGCAAGCATATTTACAGGAAATTTATCATTTCTGGACCTGCTGTGTAACTATAAATATTAAATTAAATGTGATATAAAATTCTTTTTCTCTTGTTTGATTACTGACAACAGATGCTCAATGGTGAGTATGAATGTAATGCCATATGTCAGATAAGGCAATGCAGCAGTTTTTCAGAGGAAGTAATAATGTATCTTGCTTTACTTAATATCTTTCTAATGATAGCATATGGAGGGTCATATTGGTACCACAATACAGGGAAACTCGCAATTTGTAAAAACAAATTCATCTTCCTCTATGTTCTGAAAGTACAGCTGAGCTGTGAACACAACAAGCATAGATAGCAGACAAAAATAATCAATTTTTTTGTTTATTAATTTTGTTCTTGTGCTTTCATTTAGGGGATAAATCTTCATGGTGAATGGAAACCCTTTTCTTTATTTTTTGCCCACGCACAAAAGAGGTTTAAGTTTCATTAGATTGGCCTGTTAGCCTTTCAGTCTCATTTGTACAAAAATGCTGAAATCACAACTGTAGTTTTGTGGCAAACCTTCCCTCTGATTTCACTGCTGTTTCTTTATGCAATTTGTTTACAAATCAGTTTCCACTCCACAAAATCCAGCACAATACAGAACTATCACTTCTGACATGTGTCAGTGTCACATTTATATACTAGTGTTTAGCAGTAGTAGCGCTAACAACTGTTTCTCAAAAAAGTCCAGAAACTATTTAGAAATTTAATCAGGATGTTTAGCAATGTATTTTGCCTAGTCTCCAGACACCACTGAATTAAAATAGTAACTCTGTCAAGGTGGAAATCAGTTTCCGAGTTCATTTTTAGGAGAAAATGATTCACAAACAGGATAGTGACAGGCTTTTATGATTACAGATTTCACATATTCTACCTCTTCAAAAGGGCTTATAGAGATTGATAGATCTACAAAGAAAGAAATGAAAAAATGAAGGGAAGAGATATAAATAGACTTTTTCATTAGGATGAATGATGGAAGGTAATAACCCCACTACCATAGTATGCCTTTAACATGTCCCTTTTTTTTTTCATTCCTTTTGACCTGCTACCATCTTCCTTCTAAGTACAAGTTAACTACAGTATGAAATGTAGGTAGGTTGAGCAATAGCTGGAAATAAATGTTTCCTCAAGCATTATTACTGTTCAGAAAAGTGTCCATCAGCTGAAATGTCAGGCTCCAAATCCATTTAAGCACTGCATAGAGGCTAAACAGGCAGCTATTATTAATTTTTAAGTCTGCTTGATGGGTTTTAGACCAAGAACTGGGGTTAACTCAATGCACTAAATATTGCAGAGTATATTTAATTAGGGAGGCTTTGACACTCAGATGGCTGAGGATTTATTCTGTGCAAACTACTGCTTAAAATATGATGGAATAGCTGCATCTACCAAAGAAAAAGATCTGCTGCATCATATAAAAATGCATAAAATTGGACTTTGTTGCAGGTTTTTGGACTTCTATCCCAATGTAAACACTGTCTACTTTCAAACTGTTTTGAAGCACCACTGTGTTTACATCTGGAATAATTTTTTGTTCATTATGCTGCAAGTTAGCGATGTGAATTTCTCCAGAATAAGTCCTGTTCTTCTCAGCTAATTGTCAAACCAAACCATTTTCTTACTGTGCCTTAAACAGATGTTTCTTTATTGAAAACATATCTGTGGGATTTCTATGAAGGGGTTAACACCTGTCTATAATGTTTTTATTTATAAGCATAGAGGGCTCTAAAACATAAATGGGCACTAAGACACAAAGTCAGATATTAAAGGGCTGTTTATTTGCTTTTGATCCAATTCAGAATCTTAGAAGGCAATAAAAAAGTAGCAAGTCAGAAATTACTTCTTTCCAATGGCTGTGAAATCTCCTAGCTGCATCTATTCCACTTTGCTCCTGTTTTTCTGTCCTTTGTGCACTGCTCTGGCCCCTGCCCCTGGTCATTCTCTGCTAACAAAGAAAAACTATTCACACAAGAGTATAGATGATCAAATGTAAAGATACGAGTGAGATGGGAAATTTGCCCATTCCTAGCAAAGGACATTACAGCATATTTTCCAAGACAAGTGAGGTGATTTTCACTTTTAACAGAAGAACAAATTGTCATTGACAGTTCTGAAAGACAAGCAGAAATTAAATGCAGATCCCTGAGTCAGCTGAGGAGAATGGGAGCTGGGTTAGCTCTACACTGGATCACCTTAGCATTTGATCTATTTTATGGGTTGATAAATGTGTTATCTGTTTTCTGTTATCTGTTGATAAATATGTTATCTTATAGCTGGGTTAGCTCTACACTGGATCACCTTAGCATTTGATCTATTTTATCGGTTGATAAATATGTTATCTGTTCTCCATTCCCAGTCAGCAAAACTTCCATCTGTATTGTATGGCTGGAAACCCTCAAAAGACAATTAGGTGATCTCACCATCAGAGGCAAATGAAGCAGCCCTCATCTTTTCTGACACAGATATGTTTTCAAAGTGAACAAGGTTCTTAACTTGGAAAAAACCCTCTCATGAGGCCTTGAATGTGTAAGCCACATATGGTCTGTTGTACATGACTGCAGTTTCCATGAACATGGAAAATTTCCTGGGAGTTTTGTCTTTCACACATGCTAAAACAGGGTGTGTGAATCACACTATAAAGGGTTAAACAAAGCCAACAGTAATATAACATGATTTTGTAAAAAATGGAAGAGGCTGTCTTCCCAGGTACTGATGCATCTTTGCTTGCACGTGGGTGTGCGTGTGCACACACGACTTTTATCCTTCAAAGCACTGCATTTGTGTCTTCCTCATCAGCCTGCAGGCCTCCCCTAAGGCCTGATGTAGCCCCCTGTTCCAGGCATTTAGTAACTGTCCCATAAACAAAGTTTCCAACTATCCCTATGAAGTCCTGGATACTACGCTGACTCATCAGAGCCACATGGACAGGAGCAGTGTCTGGATTTCACAGACCAAAGGCTGTGTGTATGCATCCCAAGCCATACAGCCACTGTGCTGCTGTGCCATCTGCTGATGCCCTGTGTTACCAGCTCCTGCCTAATTGGCAGCTTCCTGCTTTCCCAGAAAGCATTTTCTGAGCTTTTTCTCCTCAAGCCCTACATTTTATTTATGTTTCTTATCCAAGTATTCATATTTCTCATTTACAGTGTCCATCTTTATCCAGGCTCTTTTTGCCTTTCCACAGTACAATATGTGCACACCATGCTTATCCCCTACCACTCAATTTTATCTGAGGATCTCTTTGACATATTTTCTTCCTAATAAAGACCTTTAAATGAAAGTGTTAAAATAGATTTGATACTAATGTCTGTTGCATTATGATGGAGAACTGAACATTGTACCATTTGTAGCAATGGAAAAATATTTTGTTTATAGTCCTTCACACTGTTTTCAATGAAACAATCTGCATTTCTAACATAGACATTAATTACTTGAATTATGTTTTCAGTAAGATTTTCCAGGTATTATCAAATGCCTTCCTAGAAACTAAATTAATTTCTCCTATGATATTCACCCACTAGACCTATTCTGTGAAGAAACAGAACAACTATGTAAAGATTTATGAATAAAAGTTGATAAATAAATACTTAGTTGCATGTTATTTATGCTATAACCATAAAATGCTATTGACATTAGTTCTTTTTTCCCCTAGAGAGAGCTATTTTACTGTTTACCTCCTTATAAATGAGAGGAAGTAATTTAAATGGTCACACATTGTTCCTTTTTGTATTTGTTCTTATATTTGCTCCTCTGCTAATCCAATATTTTTCCATTCTCCCTACTGCTTTTACCAATGGCTATCTTGGTCATGTGGGCATGGTGACATCCTCAGGCAATTCTCATAACCACTTTTCACACAGCATCCTACCGGAATGTTCAGCATATTCAGATTTTTCCAATAGACTCTTAATGACTTTCTGAGAAATACTTTCTTAAGATGTGCACATTTTCAAAATTTTGGAACAACATGAGTATGTATATGAGGATTTCATTGACAAAAGCAAGTTAAGAATATGGGAATATTTTAAATGCATGGTCTAAGTGCCTGTAAGCATAGATCAGGTTTACCTAATTATTGATCAGAGTGATACTGCACTTGGTCTGTCCTCTCCATTAATTTTACTGCTGATAAAGATGCCATTTTGAAAAACAGATTAAGAGGCTTCAGGAGCTTTAATTCAAATGTAAATGTACATCCACAATGACATACATATCTATATGTAAGCAACATGGATCACATAATTTTCCTCACTGTGACTGGCTCATGTAAAAGGCTCACAAATCCCTATGAAGAGGTTCAGAAATTTCAATCCAACCTCGATAAGTTGTTAGTACCAAAATAAGTATGTCTTTAAGCATAATTGGTTGTACACATGAATGCCAGATTCTGCCATTTTTCAAACTTTGTTCTTTGCCTTGGTAGTTCAATACAAGACTAAGTTTCAGCCCAGGTACCTTGGCTCCAGAGATGGTGAGGTGTGTATCAGTACTTACAGCTGTCCTCCTCCTCCATGAAAATACTGATCACGTAACAGGCGTACACAAATCCAATCAGCTGTGTGAAAAAAGAGGAAAAACCATCATTAGAACACACTGAACACTTACAAATCTGTTACTACAATGATATATACAGGTATCACAGCTAAATTTTATATATATTTATTTCTATTTGCCGAATTTACAAATTTCAGTGCAAACAGCTAAATTAATTTCCTCTCTTTTTCTCATGTTGCTTATCTTATATTTTATATATAAATATGCATTTTATAGTTTAAAACATTTTCCTAGTCTCACTGGGATCAGTATTGATGAATGCTACTATTGAGTAATACTGGTGGAAAACATTTGTATCCTGATATTCAGCTATTATTTACATTTCTTTGTTCTTCAATACCTCTGCTCTCACATGCCTTTTCCCACATGAATATGGGCCCCTATGTACTCCATATGCTTATTAAAATGCCAAAATATTTATTGACAGCTACAGAATTAAGTCATAGTAACACTTCTATGGAATCCACAAGAGATGTCTTTTGGTGCTACATAAAGTATCTCAGTGAAAAGTTGTTAGGAAAATTTTAAATTGATGGGTGAATTGTCATGATGTAACTGAACAGTAAAATTGGGTTATGATCCATCCACATCAGGAAACACCTTATTTCACATCATTCATAACTATGCAGGAAATGAACAATATCATTTCCCCAAAGAACAGCAACAATCAAACCATGCCATTATTTTAACAGCAGCACCCATGAAAGCATCCTCCTTAACCCAGATCTGTGTCACTTGTCCCACCAAGAGGAAAGGATAAAGACCTTTAGGATCAAGAAGTAGAAACTCCACTCTCTCCTTATCCATATAGACAAAATGTTTTCTTCTGACCATGACCAAAGACGAAGAAAATCCCACTGGGCAAGGAAACCTATTAAACTGCATAGCCAGACATGTCCAATCTTGAGAAAATATTGTTTGTGCAGCTGTACACAATTCATGCCATCTGAAAGCCTTGAAAAGACTCTTCATGAGAGATTTCAAAAATAGCCCAGAGATTAGTTTTAAGAACACTCCTATTTCTCTGGTCCATTCAAAAAATCTAATTAAATAGTTATTCTAAGGATGTCACAGATCAACCATCTGAGAAAGAGGTAATTTAATAGTATCTAGACAGGTATAAGCTCCTTCAGAAGCAGAAAAATCATTCCAACCTGCTTTCTGTTTGGGCTGCACGAGGAGCAAAAGCCTCTCTGCAGACAAAAAGCTTGTCCACACAAGGGAATTCAGGGAAGTTAAGATGAATTAACTAAAGCTGTGAAATCAATGCACATAAGATAAAGTACATTAAATCCCTGTGTGGCCATTCCCATTCAGAAATAAAGTGGCCCTAGTTCACTGCAGCTTAATCCTTCTCCAAGGGATTAATCTTCCCATGGAGAATTAAGCTACAGTATGCTGAAGCTGAGCTACTTGTGCATGAGGGCTGTCACAGCACTGTGGCACAGTCCTGGCAGAGCTTCCTCTCCAGGGCATTCACCTCACTGCTGTTTTCACAAAGTGACTTCAATCCAACTTTCCTCTCATTCTGAGCAGACTACAGTACCAGCAGCTTCCCTGACTGCTTTTTGGTGTCCAGTTTGCTGTGTGGTACTGCCACAGCCTCTCTCAGGTGAACAGCATGTTGTTGCACTGGTGCTCTGAGCCAGCTAAACGCAATCCAGATCTGGAGGAGGCTGGGATGGATCCACGCCTGAGCTGCCCATCCTCATGTGCCTGGTGCCAGGGAGGCTGCAGCAGGATGGGACCCACAGACAGGGCAGGGCTCCCTTTGCCTGCTGAGAATTGTGTGCGTGGTTAGGAGCACTCCAGCCCCTGCTGTTAATGACAATGGGATCTCATGGTTCTCCTGCCAGCACATCTGGGACCAGCAGTGGTTTACAGACTCCTTGACAGATTAAGCACACTTTTTCCTTAAACTTCATTTTTTCCTTAAACTTCACAGTTTAGAGCGCCTTTCAGGCATGACAACTAAAACAATACAATATAAAGGCTTCCAAGAGATCAAAAGACAAATCATACCTGAGGTGCAGTGCTTGTGCCACCTGAAGCTTACATATAATTTAAAAAATATTGCATTAGTACCATGGAAAAATCAGAGCACAGGTGATTTTTCATAACAGGATGCCTACTGTTTATTTACAATGTTTCCTGATCACCATTTGTGTTGTGCAGTTTGACTACATAAGTCATTTGGGTTTGTTTCTTTTTCTTACACATGACTAAAATATTTTGAAGATTAAAACTGCTGAACAAATAATGAACATGATAGAAATTAATTGTAGTACAGACTGTGTGTTGTTTGTGAAGGATCAAATATTAGAATTATTTACTCTTTCCCTATCATGTATTTAGTTTTTCTTATTAGTAGTATTCTGTATTAAATTAACTTTATTTTTATAAATACATTTTCTTCTTTATATGTATATATAGACTCTGTATCCATGTATATTATATAAAATATATCTCTGTAAGTGCTTCCAGCAGATTTCTCAAATGTCTAAGATGTTGGACAAGTGGATAAAGCACAGCAAGGTTTCCACTCTAACAAGTAATAAATGACCTGACACAGAGAAAGCAATAGGTAAAGGGCTCAAAAAAGTCTTCCAAAAAATGACAAGCTTGAGTTTTAACAGTCCTAAGAGTTTACATCCTGCTCTTTTAGTAGACCTTCTCCTTAATCTCTTCCCATTCTCTTCAATGTTTGAAATGCACTTTGCCTAATCTGTGACCTTCTTGCAAAATCAGCAGCTTTTCTCTACTTCTCAGAAATATATTTTTTATACCTCAGCATTAGAAATCACTACTAGCTGTTGTATTTATGATGTATATTTGTTTAAAACACACCATTTCCCCCATCTGTTTAGTTATTAATACCAGGAGAAATAAAAAAAAATTATATATATGCACCGTCTTTCAATTTTGTGGTCTTTTCAAGGGGGAAAAAATGATGAGGTGGCTAACCATAGCCCTCCATAATCCAACAATATCCTTCTGCAGTTAAAAGTCAGAATGCATTTTTTCTGAAAGAACAAAACAACAAGGAGAAAAAAGAGCCCTTTAGCATCAAGTGTCAGGTATTGCTGCTCAAGGGGTCAGCAATGCTTGGCTTGGAACTAACAAACAAGTAGTTACAGCTGGGTAACTGATATCTACAGCACCATTAACATGAAGTGATAAAGTGGGAATATACCCTTTGACAGATGAGGCTTGTTTCCACTTCCTTAACCAGGGTTACAACCACCACTGTGTGAATATTTTTGTAAATAAATCAATTAAAACCTCTTCTTTTGTGTTATTGATGGACATGCTAATAAAATATTTATTCCAACAAATTCCTTTTGGTATCTTGATTAACACAGCTGCTGTTTAATTAATAGTGTTATGCTCATGTGAACCCATCTAGCTATCAGGCTAATTGCCAGTCTTGGTACTGGAAATGTTGGCTATTGGCCTGGCACCAAGTGATAAAATTAAACGTGTGTTTCCTGATAACCAAAGCAATTATGATGCATATGAGCTGGAAGATTCTTAATTTGGTCATCTTGAGTTGCAGTAATCATTCAAAAGGACTGATAAATGGGTTGGAACAGGATGTCAGAGCATCAAAGATCACTAGCACCTGACAGCATAAATAGGAGCCTCTGGTTTGATCCAGAGAGAAATATACAGAAATATACAGCCAGGAGGCCTTGTCTTGATGACACTGAGTTCAAGGCATGGAAACCTTCTGGGATCCCTGCACTGTACAAGACTTCCTGTCTTATCTGGAGAGCCCAGACCAGTTAAGTGTCTCAGAAGAGACCTGTTAGTGCTATTCTGCAGGAAATCAGGTGGGAAATTGTGGGTAGAGGCTGCTGTTCCCACCCTTCCTCCATCCATACAGTAGTTAGGGTACATACCTTTATCTAGACAGAATAAGCAAAGCATAAAATATTTCACAGAATCACAGAAGGTTTTTGTTGGAAGGGACTTTAAAACTCTTCTGGTTCAACCTCCCTGCCATGGGCCGGAACATCTTTCACTAGGCCAGGTTTCTCAGATTTCATCCAGCCTGTCCTTGAACACTTTCATGGGACATCCTCTTGGCAATCTGTTCAAGTGCCTCACCACCCTCATTGTAAAAAATGTCTTCCTTATGTTCAATCTTGATCTATGCTCTTTCAATTTAAAACTTTTACCCTTCGCCCTCTCACCACAGACCATGGTAAAAAGCCCCCTTTATAAATGGAAAGGCCAAAATAAAGTTTAAATATCTCCAACTCTCTCAGTCCTCCAAATATTCTCATGGCCCTCCAAGTGGAGTATCACAAAAGCAGAGAAGAGGGGTAAAATCACCTCCCTTGCCCTGCTGCCTACACTTTTTGTGATGCAGGCAATGGTACAATTGACTTTCTGGATTGCAAGTGCACTTTGCTGACTCATGTTGAGTTTGTCATCCACCATGATCCCCAAGTTCTTCTCAGCAGAGCTCCTTTCCAGCCATTCATCCCCCAGCCTTTACTGATATTACGGATTGCCCTGAGCCAGGTACAAGATCTTGCATGTGGCCTTTTTGAAGTTAATGTGCTTCACAGGGGCTCACTGCTTGAACCTGCCAAGGTCCCTCTGGGTGGCATCTCTTCCCTCAAGCCCTTCAACAGCACCACCCAGCTTGGTGCCACCAGCAAACCTGCTGAGGGTGCAGGCAATGCTGCTATGACAGTAATGAAGACACGAAATATCACTGGTCCTGCTATGGGCCCCTGAGTGATACCATTTTTTATTGAACACTGAGCCATAATTCTTTGGACATGACCACACAGTGTTTTTAGACCCATCAGAATTTTCCTACCAAAAACCTTATTTCTTCAATGACTAGCTGAGAAGTATTGCTGAATTCTCCAAGTCATAGTGAAGGGTAGGCTCAGGATGTAAGAAACAGTTGTCACCTAGGCTATAAGTTGGCAGAGACTTCAGTGTGGAATCCACAAAGGGATTTGTCATCAGTAGAACATGGGT